ACATTCCTCTCTTTCTATCGCGACCACTGTTAGGAAGAAATCTCATCTGTTTATCGATGGCGAATTACAATCTGTCAAAGTCGAACTCTGCAAATTAAGCGAGCCGTTTTTATTTCGAAAGTGGCACACACCACTTTTAATTTTTTAAATCTTCGCGTATCAACGTGCTTGGAAAAATTGATGTTACACTTTCGAGAAGATCTACTGCTCATTGTATCGAACAACACTCGTGATTTTTCTGATTCTTCGCCACTTTTTTAATGAAACTTCGCTGTGAGTACCACTTTTCAAATAAACGGCTCAAATGCTGAAGGATCGTTGCCGATTTCACGTTTCTTTCAAGTTTCGTTGGTATCACACGATTTCGCGATTCTTCGACTTATTGTTCAGAAGCGATCTATCTAAGATTGCCAGTCGCTCAATTTGTAAATATAATTAAATAATAATAAATAATAATAATTTGTGTCGTGTCTTCGTTCGTCAGTAGATCTGTTAATTTAATTTCCTCTCTGCATGGTGTCGGAATTAAATAAAAAAAAAAGAATTACTGCAAGAGTCGACTTGCATTCTCTCTTTCTCTCGTGCATTAATTCGCGTTTTTCCTGGTTTAATCGCTCGTTTTCAACGTTCCCGTATTTCTCCCCCTCCCCTTTCTTTTTTTTTTTTTAAACAACGCCTAGCGTTAACTCGCCACGCGCAGGTTTCCCCGTTTATTAATTTAATCGACCTCGGATCGCAACGAGCGCCAGCAACTCGGCCAAAGCAACGAACGTCAGCAGAAAAGGAGAGAGAAACAGTGTATGCACAAGCAAAAAGCATCTCCGCGTTTTCTCTTTTACTGGAACCACGATTAATCCTTTTTCCTCCACCGTCGGCCATGTCGAATTCGACGGGCTCGTTATCGATGTTCGATTTCACGCGGCACCGCCGGGCAATTTTCCACCGGGAAAATCGCGGCCCGAACAATACACGCCGCCGTATTTTCGCGTATCGAGAACGATCAGCGATCGAGATTCGCTTGATTCCCCCCCGTAAGAAAAATTTGGCCACGGCGAAGATTCTTCGAACAACATCTAGAAATTTGAAATTCAGTTTTTTCTCCCTTCAAAAAGAGAAAAATTGTCATCCTCGTGCGAGTTTTCTTCCGAAATTCTCCAAAAAGAAAAAAGAAAAAGAAAAAGGACACCGGGAATTATTTCCGGAGCGCCGAAGGCTTGAAAGTTTAATCGGAGAGCGACCTTATATAAAGAATTCACGCGGAATTATTCGCGGACGATATTATTCAATAGCGAAAAGATTTTCGTTCGCATTTTTACCGAGCGAAGGCGGTTCGACGCGCAACAATTTATAAATATCTGGCAAAACTTCGAGTACTAGAACCGGCCGATCCGACAAACTCCGAATGATTCTCTCGATCGGCAAACAGAAGGAAAGGGTAGGCGTACAATTTCACGGGC